AGAGGGAGGATAAAGAGTAATTGCTGCACTGGGCTACGGGCTACTGGTAGCATTGGCGTGAATGCTGCCGGGCAGTCGCAAGGCGCCTCCAGCTCTAGGACAGCAAGAGATATGTTTGGAACATATGCACTAGCTTGGGCACCATCCTGTAATCATCACTGCTGTTAAACAACAAATGTTTAACAACCAGCACCCTCTGGGAAAATGCCAGGCCTGGTTAGGCAGGTAGCACGTATCTGCCGCTCTTCTCAACATGCAGTATGGGTGCATTCGCCTCTTTCAAGGCAGGAGATACAGTCTGGATATGTGGGCACAAGCCAGGTTGCACCGCTTGGCCTCTGATTATCTCTCTGCTGGTAAATAAACCAACCCAAAGAGGTCACCTCCTTTTACCTCATGTCTCGAGAGAGCAGCATTTGCTGGACCTGTGGCAGGATCACAGCAGCAATTCTGCTCCTGGACTGAATGTCCAGCCACAAGGACAGGCAGAAAGTCAGACCCTGCTGCGCACAGGGAAAGGCTGAATTCAGAAGGCCCAGCTCCACCTACATCCCTATGCTTATCGAACAGAGAGACAGACACCTCTGAAAAGAGCCAGGCACAGGGACATGAATGGAATTTAAACCATCTGAAGGTGGCCCACATTGTCCCAGATCACTGCCACTGCCTGTTTGTGTGTGCATCTCCCTCTCTCGAGCTTTTTGCGGGCTGGTCATCTTCTGAGGCAATCAGCATTTCAGAGCATCTATTATACACAGTGTGACTGTCAGCACAGGGGTACCAGCTCTGCTGAGGCCTCTTGGTGCCACAGCTGCATAACTCAGAGAAGGTTGAGGCATATCTGTCATTCCTGGTTCTGCTTCCTGAAAGATATCTCTCACAAGTGCACAGAAGCAGACCTCAAAACAGACTGTACTCTTCACTGGAAATTCAGGAGTCACTTGTGAACTCTTGGCCCTTGCAGCTCTAATTGCGATAGCCAGGCCAGCTCTCCCTAGAGAGTCAGGGCCACGCCAATCATGCTGCAGAACTCCAAGTGAACACAGGAAGGATCTGCTATTAGCAGCCTCAAACCAAAAGATCATGGAAGGAAGAGGGCCCCAAAGGCAGGGTAAACGAAGTGGTACTTGACCCTTTGGCCAGACCGAGCTAAAGAAGTCGGGGAGAAATGTATTTCACACACAGGTGAGCTGAAATGATTACAGGAAACAAGACAGGTGAGCAAAGCCTTCGCTATGATTCCTCAACAAGTCTAGCATTTTGTGTTGCTCAGAGTTTTGGCCTTACCTGTAGGCAGCAGCTGCATCTTGCAGGGAGCTACAGAGCACTGGCATGGCAACAGCCATGGAGCTCTCAGACCTCATTGTCTCTAGCGGTGTTTTCACCGGTGCGATGGGCCGAGGGATTCTGCTCTTTGTGCTTATGTGTTTCTCTTCTTTTCTCAGGAGGGCAGCCTTCTCCTTCCCTGCCTTTCTTGGGATGGAGTCATCAGAGTCATGGGTATCCTCCTCAGAACCAGTGGCTGAAAGGGTTTCTGAAGCCCGCCGCCTCTCATCACTGGAGGATGCTGAGGAGGAGGCCCCTGAGGCCAGCCTAAGGAGACGGTTTTGCCTCTTCTCCATCACTAGGCGAGCCAAATCAGGTTGCTTTGCCCTCTTATAAAGCCTCTCTTTGGCTGAGAGTGAAGTTGAAAGGTCTGAGCCAGTGTCCTCCTCAGAGAACAAAATGGGTATCCGACTCCTGTACCTGGATCCCAGAGGTCTCCTGGGGCGCTGCTGTGGTGTGTCAAGGAGGGTTTCTGCTTGTTTAAGGTGTTCTGTTATGGGTATTGTCTTCTCAAGGTCAGGCTCTCTTGCAACCATCTTGCCAGGCTCTTCCAAATCTACTGAGAGCGCTGCTTTGTCAGAGAGCTCCAACTTGTCCTCAGGAGGCTTTGCAACGCCACTGGGAAGGGCTACCTGTTCCCCTACTGTCTCTGAGGTGATTCCAATGTGATTAGCTGAGAGTGCACAGCTTTCTGTCTCTGCCCCTTCTAGCCCTGAATGCATGCTTCCATTCTCCACCAGCACCAGGTTTTCCTCCATCTCTTCTTCAATGATGATCTCTTCAAACGGACCAGGAGGGCAGTATTCCTCATGCCTCATCAGCTGCCCACTGGAAGACATGACATTTAAGTGGGTCTTTTCAGCAATATGAACAAATGTGCGCTCAACTTTGGTGAAAGGGGAGGAAGTTGTAGCCACTGCCATAGGAGGCTTTGGTTCAGATTTAAGGACAGAGGACAAGGTCCCTGGCTCGGATACATCTAACTGGCTACCCATAGGCTGTGGCCGCTCGCTCTGAGGTGTGAGGGCAGCAAGAGTCCCCAGATCAACCTCTGGAGCCACGTCTGTGGTCACCGGAGACTTTTTCAGATCACCTGGTGAAAACAGCACTAGTGTTTTTGAGCCCTCCTCCAGTTCCAGATCCCCATCAGCAGTGGAAGCTCGACCCTTGGATCCCTTCTGGTCATCGGCCAGGAGCGTGGATGGCGCGCATTCCTGGCTGCGCTCTGTGCTTTTTTGACTCATGTCACTGCTGGAGCCGCTGTGCATATCAATCTCGTCCCCTGCCTCCTCCTCCTCCTCTTCTTCCTCTTCTTCTTCTTCCTCCTCTTCTTCTTCCTCGTCTTTCCCATTCATTTCAAGTTGAGGTTCAAGGGGTTTGCAAGGAGCAGTCAAGACAACATTTGAGAAGTCAACTTTCTTTATCCGCTGGGGTACCTTAGGCTTTTCCCAGTAGTCTGACACATCTTTTTTGAAGTCTTGATAAGGCAAACTTAAAGGCACTGCCTTGGGCAGACCATTCATTTCAAATGACTTCAGTGTATATGACTGTAAAAAGAACGATATGACAAAAGAAAACAGTTAGTATTCAGACACAGCATTGGCAAAGATATGAACAGCGGTGGGAAGCACCTGTGGAAAACATCTAGACCATCACTCCCCCAGAACACCCATCTGAGCAGCGATCACTCAATCACTTGATCAGTACCAATCTTAGGAAGAGATTCACAAAGACACTTATCAACAAAGGCAAAGAACCTGCCAGAGGAGTTTCTTTGTTAGCAGTTCTTAACCTAGACCTAAAAGAGCTGTTTGCAAACATTTCTTTGGTTATTTTTTTTGTTTTCTATGGGTTTTACTCCTTGTTGTTTCCCTGGTCCTGCACTAATATGATCATTACGGAACTCACGAATGCTGACATTGAAAGTATCTTTATTAGCCTCTAGCGTGTCCAACCATTAGAGCAACGGAAGGACAGAAGAACTCCTGGTCTTTCAGAACTACTGCTGGGAGCAGTGTTTCTCTAGTGGTCTGTGGCACAGAGGCTGCCCATAGGACTTCAGAAGCAGGCTGTGAAATGATTGCAAATAACAGCGATAGAAAGGCAGCCATGTGTTCATACGTATGCACACATTTGACCAAACAAGCAAAAGAGGGGCAAAATAAATAGCAAATGACCATCACAGTTAACCTAATTCACAATGGGTTGTAAATGAAAACCACAGTAGAAACACTTCACCGAATGAATTAAAAAAAAAAAAAAAAACTATGTAGGTCACCCTTCAGTTAAGAAGGCTGGGAAATGCCAGCCTCTCCCCAAACTCAAGCAGATGATAATGCATCACGTGTCACCTTTGGAAGGTTCTAATTACAAAGAGAAGGGCTCCAGATATCTGCTTTTCAAGTGACATTTTACAGACTCAGAGGATGTTTAGATTATACAACCCACCAAGTACCCATTTTACCATGGGTGCTACCGAGCGTCAATAGCTAGTACATTCAACTGACTATGGGCAAAGAGTTATTTTTGTCTCTAGTGGAGAATAACCCTCATAGCTTTTCCGTCCAGCAACCAAGTTTCTAATTCTGCTGGAAATCTGCCCTAAGTATGCCTGAAAAATACAAGCTCTTCATGCTCACATATAACAGAGAAATTTCAAATGAACTTGTTCCAAGCTGTTAAACATACAGTGATCGGGTTTCCTCCAGTGTTGCAGATGACACACCTTTCTCAGGACTCCTGGGCTCATCTGTATTTTGATTGCTTTGTTCTTGAAAAGCGTATTCCTCATTTCTCCTTTCCCATTAATAAAGCCTGCCTGTGACTGTCTTCATTTTTCTCCGGTATAAATTAAAATACCTCTGCAGTCCAAAGCTTAGCTTCTTCTTTCATCAAGCCGGAACCAGGCTCTGAGGATGGCCATATATCAGCCTCATCTGAGCTTCCGCTGACCCACTCTACCTTTTGCATCAGGATGACAGACCTGCAGTTTGGACTGATAACATGGACTTACTGCCCTTTGCAAAGGAAATTACCCACCTGGCTTCCTCCCTCAGGCATTTCTTGGAAATTAGTCTATCTGGCAGCCCAAGATTATATACAGCTTCTTGGCTGGATTTGGCTTTCCCAATAAAAATACCACAATACCGACACCGCTGCCCCTGGAGCACTGATCAAACAGGTGCAATTCCCTAGCTGTGGGACTGAACCTTAACAAAGAAGCCTTGACCAACACTTTGCATTGCACTGAGCTCCCCACTGAAAAGATACCCCATCGGCAACAACATTTCACCTGCTGCTCTACTTCACTCCGTTTCCTAGATGCTGTAGTTGGTGGTACAGTCAGAGGACCACTGTTTTCTCTTTTCCAGGCTGCTCAAACTCATATGTAAACCTTCAAATTTCCTCCTTCACTCTTAGGAGCTTTTGTCATCCCACCTGCTTTCTGATAAAAGGAGAACTGAATCCAGTCCTGCAATGTACATCCTATTTAGGCCAGAGATATGGCTGCAGTACTCCGCAGTCCCTCCTGCCAGCAGGGCTCCACTGTTGGCTGGAACCACCAGGTGTAAGACCTAGATGCTAATGACTCAGCCTTGGCATCTTGTCTGGCTTCATGATGACCTTGCCTCTGCTGCTGATCACGTCTCCTTCCCTTTCTAGCTGCCATTTCTTCTCAGTAACCCACAGTACTCCGTTTACATCTTTTCAGTCTAGAATCTTTTGATGTTCATCTCATCCTCTGTTCGTAGCATATATCCCAACGGCTCTGCAGCAACATCACAACCTCGGCACATCCAGTGTGCACACAGTTGGCAGACTGTTTTAGTGTCCTCAGTCCTGTCTCCAGAGACCCCTCTTTCCTAAACAGCTGTAATATAAATTACAGTTTTCTCCCTCTTTTGCTCTAGTTCCCCTTTGACGTTGTTGAGCCACGCTGCAGGCATCTCACTAACCTCCATGTAATCCCATGTCTGGCTGTACAAATTCCTTGTGGTATTTAGCACATGAACTGCCTTTCTGTCTGTCACTCTGTTTCCCCTGTGGATTTGCTATTTCTCTGTCCGGATACTGCACCCTAAGCACAACAGTGGTTGCTTGGCTTATACCCACCTATGGGAGACTTGGACTGTTTAACCTCCTGCCTGCACTACCCCAAATTTCGCATAACACATTCCTCAAAGCAGCCTGAGACTCTGAATGTTTTGCCTACTGTAAATGCACCAAGGAGAGAATACAAAGAGCATAAATAGCCAAAAAAACAAAAACAAAAAAGGAAGGCAGAAGTTATCCACAAACCCAACTGAAAGAAACTTTACTGAAAAGACACTTAGGTCAAATATTATTTTAACACACATTTTCTTACCTTCACTGCCATCATCACCTGAAAGTATTAACAAGAAAGACAGTCCCAGGGCATCAAAGTCTGAGACTATCTTCACTGCTGAGTTAATATGCCAGCAGCTAGCTGCAAGCAGCCACACTGCTCAACAAGCCGTTCCAGTTTAGCCCCCTCCTCCCCCCGACTAGAGAAGTATGTGTCCATGCCACTCTCTTGGGGCACATCATTTGTCTTTTTTAGCACAGTGCCCTCAGCTGCTCCAGGATTCTTCCACAATGGCTATAGAAAAACTTTTCTGCTCTGCTGTACCAATGGGGATAAACTGTGGGAAGATACCGGAAGATCAGGAGTAGAGTGATTTAGTCTTTATCTCAGAACCATGAAACTGTAGAATAACATAGGTGTGAGGAACTGCTGGATGTCTCTGATCCAACCACCACTCAAAGCAGGACCAACTTAGAGCTGGATGCTCAGAACCTTGTCCAGCTCAGTTTGAGTATCTCCGAGGATGGACATCCCACAAGCTCTTTGGGCTCCTGTCCTCGTGTCTGACCATTTTCATGGTGAAAAAGTTTTTCTTTATATCTAATTCCTATATTTAAATTTCCTTTCAGTAGCTTGTATCCATTGCATCTCATCCTTTCAGTGTGCACATCTGAGAAGAGTCTGGCATCATCCTCTCCCCCGGTAGTTCACGGAAGAAATAAGATCCTGTCCCGATCCTTCTCTTTTTAAGGCTGAACAAACCCAGCTCTCAGCCTCTCCTACTATGCCTTACGCTTCCGGCGCCTAATCGTCTTGGTGGCCCTCTACCAGGCTCACTCCAGTATGTCAAGATCTTGTACTGAGGAGCCCCAAACTAGATAGTACTCTAAATGACATCTTGCAAGTGCCTAATAAAGGGAAATAACCACTTCCCTCACCCTACTGCTTGCACTCTAGCTAATACAGGCCAGGATGAGGTTGGCCTTTTTTGCTGCCAGGGCAAACTGCTGGCTCCCGTTCCACTTGCTGTTCCTCAGGACCCCCCAGGTCCTCTCCTGCAGAGGTTCTGCAGAGCTGCTGCCAGCCAGCTGGAGCAGGGACTGTCCTGTTGTATTGGGGTCTATCCATCCGAGCTGCAGGGCTTTGCATTGGTCTTTATTCTTCACAGGTGCCTGGCTTGAAAGAACTGGCTGTGTCATCAGCTTGAGAAAAAGCAGGAACTCTGCTATGAGCTGAGCCAGCCACTCGACTGTAGAAAGCTATCAAGCCTGTGAATGAGCAGAGCTGTGCTGGAGCTGGCTGACTCTAGGGCAAAAGGACCTGCTTGTCCTCCAGCAAGCTCTGATCTCTGCCTGTGATGCTCTCTTTCTCAGAAGACCCGTTGCTCATCACCGTCACAGTGAACCGTTTCTCCCACCTGCTTGGACTCAGATCTTCAATCCTGATCCTACTTTGACTTGTCAGCCAGTTGTCCAGGAACCTGTATGGCAGCATAAGTATACACGTGTGGCTGAGTGTGTGCATTTCCCAAAGAATCTCTTTAACTCTCTCTCTCTCCATAAAACTCTATGGCATTTAAATGGCATTTGGCTAGTTAGTATTTTGGGTAACAATATGCACTGGGGGGGTTACAAATACCCCTGCTTTGCAGAGAGGCCAGGGTTTCAAATACAGAGCGGGAGAACCAGGAGAGAAAAAGATCTACCTGCACCTATTTGCAGAGGCAGAAATCAGCCCTTTCAAGTCCATCTCTGCCCCTGCAGCTAAACAGAGAGTGAGCCTTTGTCTTTATTGCAAAACAGTGAGGTTTCAAATTAGCAGAATCACTGGCACTGGGATACCTCCGGAGAGACTTACATCACCAAATACAAGCAGCGCTAACTTCCTGCAGCTCAGGAACTGCAAATCCTGCAAAAATCAGCAAAGACGCAGTCTTCACTTGGCTATGGCAAATTTACTAACATGCATTAGAAGCTCCCAGGTCCTTTCCTAAGTGGAAACATAGACAGAGACATTCTTCTCAGGCCAGCAGTAGAGAGCAGACTCGCCCTGGTGGGTTTAGAAGCAGTACTGATACCCAGTTTGTTAACGTGCTCATATATGTCCTTGCCCCGTGCAAAGGCAAACACGCTCTGCCCAGGTCTCTGCAACAACGAAGGGCGATGGCGGTGTCCGTTTGGCCTCTATTGCTTTCTGGTGATCACAGGAATCATAAGGGCA